GATCACCAGGACCTCTCCTGCCATCAGAAGGAGTAAAGCTCAGTGCCTCAGGCAGGAGGCAGGCTGGCAGTGTGCCCTTTTGGGCATTTATCCACAGTGCTAACAGACCTTGGCAACCCTGGCCTGAGAGGCCAAGAGGGCATGTGGCTGTAAGGCTGAGGATGAGAGATGGGCATGGCTGTGGCATGGCTGAAAAGAGGCGCTCTTGACCACAGAACCGCTGTATCCTGAATTGGTTCTGATCCTGAAGAGCACTCTGTTAACTTCCCTAACAAATCCCATAATCGTCAGTACTGACTGTGAGTTCAGTGTGGCCATTGCAGTGGATAGCAAACCCAGCAGAGAAGTCGACAGAGGCGTGGGAGGAGTGGTTGGTGTTGGAATAGAATAAAGAATGCTGAAGGTGAAGGCACGTCTGACCTCTGCCTCATGGGAATCAGCTTTGAGCTGATGTGGAGTTCCATTCTCCTTCTCTCTTGTAAAGTCAGAGGAGCTCAGACATGGTCCCATGGCACTTATTACAAAATACAACGAGAATGCTCCTTAAAAGTGAAGCTGGTGAGTCTTCAACTTGCTTGAACATATCATCAGGGAAGACCAACTGCTAGAAAAGGACACCAAAACTAATGGGACCCCTCAAGGAGATGGACTGACACAAAATAGCCACAACAGTGGATTGTGATCATATGATACCAGTGATCATGAAGAGGACTGGGGATGTTTGTTCACAAGATCATGAGTTGGAGCCAACTGGACGGCAACTAACAATAACCTCTAGCACCGGAGGACGCACTAGCTTATGATCAGTCTGAACTCGCTGCACAGCTCTCTTGTTCTGAGTCTTCAGAGTCACTCAATAACTGGGTCAGTAAGTAAGGTGTATCTCTGTCTCCAAAATCTAAGATAGCTCTACATTCTGAGAGTGAGGGAGAACACAAGCTAAGGAAAGTCTAATTCTCCTGTGGTATCTCCCCTGGTTTCCTCATACCAGTGCCTAACAAGGAGTTCTACTTCCCCCTCTCTCCCTCATAAAACTTGGTATAGAAGGCAGAAGGCACCACCTTTTTTGTTCTCAATGATGACCTCCTAAAGGAAGGGAAACAGAATTGACAGAAACGACGCTCTGATGTTAACGCTGTGGCTTTGGGGAGCACATGTGTGGCATTGTTTATAGAATGAGATGGAGACTGTGAACAGAGCTACAGAAGGGGAGCTGTCTAATGCTTGCCATTCCCTAGTGAGGAAACAAAATAACTTTAAAAATCAAGTGTGTGTTTATATACTTAAAAATAAAAAGCAAAGTCAAGACTTTTTAAAAAATAAAAAACCACATCTATTTGATGAAGTCTTTCATGTCACAGGCAAGAAAATAACTCATTTTTGTTCCATTGTTATTAACTGTCATCGAGGCGGTTCCAACTCATAGCCACCCTATATAGGGTTTTCAAGGAGTAACTGGCGGGCTTCAACAGCTGACCTTGTGGTTCACAGTCCAGTGCCGACCCTACAACGTCACACCGCGAGTCTTCTGTTATGTTACAGAAAATTTCCCATGCATACTTTATGCTAACACCAAAAGCAGTTATGTGCACAGACATGTTTGTTATTGTTGTTGTTAGGTGCCATCAAGTCAGCACCGACTCATAGCAACCTTATGCATAGCAGAACGAAACAATGTCCAATCCTGGGCCAACCTCACTACTGTTGCCACACTTGAGTTCACTGATGCTGCTACTTGGCCAATCTATCTTGTTGGGGGTCTTCTTCTTTTTCTCTGACCCTCCATCTTACCAAACATGATATCCTTCTCCAGCAACTGATCCCTCCTGACAATATGTCCAAAGTATGAAAGATGAAGTTTGGCCATCTTAGCCTCTAAGGAGCACTCTGGCTGCACTTCTTCCAACACAGATCTGTTGGTTCTTTTGGCAGCCCATGGCACTTTCAATATTCTCCTCCAGCACCATAATTCAAAGGCATCAATTCTTCTACAGTCTTCCTTATTTACTGTCCAGCTTTCACATGCATATGAAGTTATTGAAAATACCATGGCTTGGGTCAGGCACACCTTAGTTCTCAAGTTGACATCTTTGCTCTTCAACACTTTTTAACACAAGCTGACATCTTCACTCTTCAACATAGGAATGTACGGATTTAAAATAGCAGCTCTTTTGTTTGCTTATCTCCCGAACCCTCCTAACATTGACATCTAGACCAGCACTGCTGCTGTTACTGCTGTTAAGTGAATTCTGACTTATAGTGACCCACTCTGCATGGGGTTTCCAAGGAGTGGTTGGTGAACTTGAACCACTGTCCTTGCGCATCAAACCAATCTTACAGTCTAGTACATTAACCGTCAGCGCCACACCAGGACTCCACAAGGTCTCTCAAAATGTTTTCTGTTGGGTGGGCCTGTGTGGTGTAACCTTTGGTTATTTGATGATGCACGGAGAAGACTGTAATCATTGCAATGAAAGGAAACACAACAGGATGAGCATAAAGCTGATGTTCTCCCATGTAAAACCTCACAGTAAAAACTTAAAAAAAATTCTGTTGCTCATCTCCTCTGTTGGGTTTCATAGCTATTTGAGGGGTATCCAGAAAACATTTTCCCTTGCGACTATACATTTCTTTATAGTGATTGTTGTTGTTAAATACTGTCAAGTCAATTCCGACTCATAACCATGCTGTATAGGGTTTCCAAGGAGTGGCTGGTGAGTTTGAACCACCGACCTTGCAGTTCAACCTGACCTGCAGTCCAGCACATTACCCAGCAACCACCAGAAGCCACCACTCAGCTGTCAGTTTGTTAAGTCACTGGTGACTTCAATGCTTCTGTGTTGCTGTAAGCTACTTTCAAATACATTTCTAAGGAGCACTGATAGTGTCGTGATTATAAGATGGGCTGCTAACCTCAAGGCCAGCAGTTCATTTTCATCTTGGTAAAGAAATTCTGCTGAGATGAAATAGTCCAGTTTAAATGTTGACATTTTCCCTGTCACTTTCCTATGAGTTGGAAATATCATGAGCTTTTTTATCCGATAGTGTTGACATAGACTGCATTCTTTTAGCACGGGTAGGGGCTGTAGGATAAGCACTGGACCACAACGTCAGTCTGAACTGCAAGGTCGGCAGTTCAAACTTACCAGCCGCTCCTCAGAAACCCTGTACAGGGTAGCTATTTATCGGACCCAACTCAACAGCACTTAGCAACAACAAATGGTGTGACTGCACACACATTAAACACAATGCTTGTCAAGCAATTCAGTAACAAAATAATCCAGAATGTCCTCGCCTTAAATGTGTGGCATTTTATGACCATTTTCTTCTTCTCTTGTTTTTATGGGATGGAATGTGCACTGTTTCTGTTTTTATTTCAATGTGGTATGGAAATATTTGGGGTATTCAAAATGCTGTCAGCTTGTAACTGTGTCCTGTAATTTGCAGTGTGCCCAAAACTGAAGACAGTGCCACGTGTGGTCTCTCAGTTCAACTCAACCATACCACTGTAGTGCGAATCGTGAACAATGTGTAAAATCAAGGAGCCCAGCTGTGTTCCTATAAAACTTTGTTTAGGGACATTGAAATTTGAATTTCACAGACTTTTCATGAAACATGATATAAGACTTCTTTTGAAATTTTCTACCATTTAATAATGTTAAGCCATTCTTAGCTTGTGTACCATGCAAACACACAGGGGTAGGTGGGAGGCACAGGCTGTATTTATCCCAGAGTTGGTTTCACCATGATGGGTTTGTTGATGTTTCTGTTACTTTCCTTCCCCCCCCCCCCCCCCTTTTATCCCCTGGGACCAACATTCTTAAGGATGGGGAGGAGGTGGCGGTGGTGTTGAGTGGGTTCCAAGGCATATCTGTATAGGGTTTCCAGGCTATAAATCTTTATGGGATAAGAAAGCCCTCTCTGACTCCTACAAAGTGGCTTGTGGATTCGAACTGCTGACCTTGAAATGAGCAGCCCAGCCCACTACACCACCAGGTTACGGGGAAAGGGAAGAGACAATAAACAAGTATGAACACAAAAAAGAAATCATCTTGTTTTATAAAAGAAATAAAAGAGTAAGGTGATCAGGGAGTATCTCTGAGGGAATGTGTAAATTGAACTCAGATAATGAGAACAGGCCAACTAGGAGAGCAGGGTTAAAGCTGAATATTCTAGAAAGAGAATTCTAGAAAGTGCAGAGGCTGGAGACGAGTCAGCTTGGTGAAATGTGACAAGACCATAACAAAGAAAGGGGAGGTATGAAAGTAAGGGGTATCATGTGATTCAGGTCTAAATAAGAATGATCTTAATGGTAACATCTACCTTTAATTAGTTACACACAGTAGGGCTTCTTGTTTCAAATCTAATTTTTGACACTTGCTAGTTTATATGATCACACAAAGTACTGAGAATTTAAAAAGCGAGAAAATGTCTTTATTTTGTCAAATAGTTGTAGGCCCACAATCCAGGGTGTCCATGAGAAGAGCTCTATAACTGGACCAGGCAATTAGATTGATTAGGTTAAGATCCCCCAGTTAAGATGCTCCACTTCATGGCTGCTCCCCACACATGCGCTGCTCATAGGATCCTTGAAGGCAAATTAGAGCAGTTTTAGGTACCAGGTTAATTTCTCTCTAAAACAACACTGAATCCTCAGTTCATTTATTCATTTATTTATTAGACTCAGACCAATTTGTGTGTGCCAAGTTTGTTGCAGCTTCCTTTAGTGCTTTGTGAAGGAAAATCATTTTTGAGTTTGCATTGATTTGTGGCAATATTTGTATTCAACAGTCAAATGCTACACTGTTCCCTTTTAGATGGCTGTGCACTTAATTAGTTTCACTTGTTCAGCAATTAATTAGTTTCAGAGACTTCTTACTTTGGTATTGAACCTGGCTATTGATAGTTGGAGCAGATACTGTGTTAGGATTACAGTACATGTTTTTCAAATCACAAGATACGAAAATGTTCACATTTAAAAACAGCTCTTCATAGTCGTGTCACCTAATGTCTTTCATAATTGTGAAATACTCTTCAATTAGCTTCTTTTTTCCATTTATTTTCTCCAGCACTGCTTCTAGTAGATATGAAGCAAAAGGGAGCTGTATGAAAAAGAGAAAGAAAAAAAACCCCATCAAAACTGTATTTTTTTCTTCACTTCAAAAGGATGGATACTAAATCCATCATTAGAACTTTAAATATCATTTAAAGCATCAAACCATTAGAACTTTAAATATCATTAATTGAACCCTTAGAAGTCTACATATCATGAAACCATTAGAACTGTCTGCAATTTTGCACCCATAATGGTAGCCTCCTGGATCTCTTTTCAACTGATCTTGCTGGTTAGTGTGGGTAACTTCATCCTTAATAATAAAAATGATAAAAGAGCAGAAGTCAAATGAAAAAAGATAAACGCCTTATTGAACAATTCATGGTTTACTGACCATGTTAATGATGTAATCTGCAATACAAGCAGCTAAGCCATTTATCTTCAATCAGCTGGTCAATAGCAGGTTACAGTTGTCTCTGGGGCTCACAGGCCCACAGAAGTAGTGCAGTGTGTTCATCACTCATAAAAGAATGAGAACTATCAATATACTTGTCGGTGTTAGAGGCGAATAGCTCAAGAGTCGTACAGTAACATTTCAGAGGGAAAAAATGGCAAAAGCATACCCATTGATTAAATTGTTATAGAAAAGTTTGTTTGGCATATCAAAGTGTAATACACATGTTGCAAACTGCTGAGTTTATGAAATGAAGAGCGTATTTTAAAATTTCATAATTTATATAACTTTTCTGGTAAAGTTGTATTGTCCTCTCTGCTTTGCTGGGTTGCCTGTAGAACTCCTACTCATCAGAAAACGTGAACTATTCCCCTATTAATCTCTGGAACCATCCCAGATTCCTTCTGTCTTAATCCCCAGTTATCTATTCTCAACCAAAAATGCGAATCATAATTAAAAATGGGGTCTTGATTCACTAGGAAATAGTGACTCTTGATGCTCTAATCTATTAATGAGAGTATTTTCATGCTCCAGTTCCTACTGCCATTGGAAAGTAGTCTCAGACCCTTCCTTGTGTGAAGATGACCACCAAGGAAAGCACTGACCAGCAATGGACCAGCAGATAGCCCATGCTCTAGCTATGAGTTGGTCTGGGACCAAGGACCAAGCTGATATCAGTGACTTAAACCTACTCTCATGACTCTTGCCTGAATCTGACTAACTGGGGATAAGCAAAAAGACTGGCTAGGCGGTAGAGAAAATCAAGTTTCTCACATCCTAAATAGCTTTCTGGATTAATGTGCTTCTTGTCTCTATAATGATGACCTTCTCCTTAAGGCATTCTGAGGGCATATATGTTCCCCAGAATCACAGGAGCATCACTTATTTGTCCTCCTTGGAACTTACCACTGAAGGAAACACAAGAGACTGTAATACCACAGTTCTTCACTTTTCTGATAATTCCCAAGAGAATAAGATATATATATATATATATATATATATAATGACTTAAAAACAGCTTTTCTGAAAAAACAAACTGCCATATTAAATGAACACATGTACTGCACATGCATTCCAATTTGAGGAATGTGAAAATATGGAAGAAATGTATCAGAATCAAAGAAAAAGGATGTATTAAATTCTGTCCCAGAAGATAACAATTCTAACAGGAAATCCTTACTTTGACACATTGCCCTTTTGGGATATGGAAGAGTTGTATTTGGCAAAACTGCCAGCTTTGCAAATAAGAGAATTCAAATTCTCAAATTCATAAACACGAGCTGTCACCCAGAGCCATGTGCATTTCTACCGTAAACGCCGACTAACAGGATGAAAATACCCTTCCATTTCTACTGGCTGAAACAAAAGCAGAAATGGGTTTTTAGACTTCATTTCCTAAAGTTATTATAAGTTTAAAAAAAGATCTGATCAAATAAGTTTGGGAAACAAACTAAACTCCAACACAGTTCCTGTATTTCAGAACTTCTAGAGACTTTAAGATGCCAACAAACATTGTGTCTAAGCAGACAAAGGGATGTTCCATGTTTGGATTGGTCTTCTTGATTAACCAGGAAAATGTAATTTTTGATGCCCTGAATCAATAAGCAAGAGCGCTTATCCATCCTTTTCTCATTGTCTGTCATGTGGAACTAGTGGACCATAGGACATGCTTTGGGGAATGTGCTGGTATATCATTTTGTTTAATAAATGTCACCAAGCCACAGTATATTAACAATCATTTTACTTATAAATTAAATTTCATTGAAATCTGAGTCCACCCTTACTATCTTGTGATGTGAGCAATTTTTAACATACCATGTCTGTGGACATCTCCTCTCCCTCTAGAAAATCTAAAAGAATCTCCCTTCCAGGAAGACTCCAAAAGGAACAAGAGGTCCATTTACTAATTTATTGCCCATAATTCCCCTTTATTCTCTTCCTCTGGCTCCCAACCAAACAGAATGCCCTAAAGGTACACACTACTATTTGCCAATCCTATTTCATTGGATTATAAACTTATTTTAAGTTTTGTATAGAGGCAAACAGATTATGGATACTTAAAAAGCAAGCAATCTGAGCACTGGAAATGTAAAAGTAGATGTTTTGTAGCAAAAGGAGGGGAGTGATTAACTTTGCAGTCTAGGAGCAGAGGTCCCTGGGACCATCAAGGGAGAAGCGTGGAGAGCGGGACCCTACCCAGAGAAGCAGTGATACCAGAGATGGAGGCAAAGATGATGACGTAGAGAGATGGAGCGACTGGGGACTTTAGACCCAGAGAGGGAGAGGGGCTGTGTGCTGATGACCAGGGTGGGGTGGGGGCAGGCTTGCAGAGTATACTCTTTAGTTGGTTGATGATGCATGGAGGGGCTTGTAACCATGGCAATGAAATGATACACGATAGGATGAATGTAAAGTTAATGTTCTCCCATGTAAACTATCACATAATTCACAATAAAACATTAAAAAAAAAAGTTAAAAAAAAAAACATATAATCCTTCCATCAAGATGCTCACAGCATGTATCCATCTATTTATCTTCTATTTTGTATCTAAATAGTTCAGGAAAACAATGATTTCTTTATATAATTTTACACTGGCATTTACATATCTTTCACATTAGTTTGATTTCTTTTAATTCAACTTTTCTATTTTTGTTTTTCATATAGCACTATTAGATAAGCACTGGACTGCTAACCGCAAAGTTGTTAGTTCAAACTCACAGCTACTCCTTGGGAACCCTATACAGGGTTGTTATGTGTCAGAACCAACTCGAAGGCACTTAACAATAACAACAAATATATACTTTTTTCTGTAAACCCAGTGCTTCCTACTTGCTGTCTGTTTGTTTTCCCAGAGTCCCTGATATTTTATTTCTGATAGCTGCATCTGTAGTCATTATTCCCAGTAAATTCTATGTAAAGGGGACCCTCTCCACAAAGGCAACCATTTCTCATGATTGTTCTTGTTGCTAAGTGCTGTTGAGTGGAGTCCTACTCAAAGCAACCCTGTATAGTGTTTTCGAGGAGCAGATGGTGAATTTGAACCGCTGACTTTGTGGTTAGCAGGCCAGGCCAGTGATTTTCTATTGTACAGCACCATACCAGGAGTCCTATAAAGGCTGCTTCTCTGGTGAAGTGGAGGGCCATAGATGAGCCTCCAGGTCTTCCTGGCTTTTGTACATACTGCTTTTCAGTCAGAAATACTCTCCCATCCTACACTGTCCTATAGTCAGCTATTCTTTGGATTTCAATTTAGATACCATTGCTTTGAGAAGCTTTCTGGGCACCCCCGACTAGGCCTAACTTATCATTTAACATAGTCTTATTGCCACTGTCCCCCCACTAGATACCAAGGTTTTGAGGCTTGAGCCTGTCAACATTAAGCTTACTGTTGCATGTTCAGTGTCTAACACAGTATATGACACAGGTACATACAAGCATGTACACACATACATATAATAAGTATGTATGTGTATAAATGACTAACTGAAAAGAAAGGAGGTGACAACCCTAGCATTTGGTTGACACTTTCTGACCATTGCTGTTAAAACATGGAAGCTGCATAAGGTCTTGGCAAACCACAAAGTAAGCAACTGAATCTTTTCTCTGCTGCTTTGGGTCTTATGTTAGTATTGTCCTACACATATGATCTCTCGTTTTCCTTTCATCTTGCCCTTCTCTCTTCAGTTCTTCTGGACATGTTTTAAGTCTGGGTCATATTTGATTTTTTTTTTAATGTTTTATTGTGAATTATGTGATAGTTTACATGGGAGAACATCAGTTTTATCTACTTGCTGCTTGACTCATGGTTTACTGTCCACTATAAATCTAACTTTCAAAGAGATGGTCCAAAAATATATTTTTAATACATAAGGGTCAGTTATCTTTCTAACTTTATATTAGAAAATTGGTATAATTTTATAACAAATTACTTAATAATTGAATTTAGAGGAAGACCAAGATATATACTGCTTTTAAATAAATACAATAACATAAAATAACTAAAATAGTTTGAATAATAGTAAAATATTCTATGAATTGTTCCTGCTTTATGGAGTAGACTCAATACATAGTCAAGTAATGAACGGACTAACAGTCTTAGTTTGAAAAATGGCCACTTTTACCAATTTCACATTACTTATTTATTCAGTAAACCCTTTTCATAGATGGTATAAATAAAAATTTGTGCATAGTCTAGGGTGAAGTGACAAAAAATAATGTTTTGGGGAATGGTTAAGAATGGGATTTTCAAGTTAACTAATCTGGTACATTGAGAGTTATCACTGATATTACATAGAGATTACCACTGATTCTCATAAACTGTAGTTAACTTGAAGGCTAGATGGAACATAATTTAATCTTTGGTGATTCAAGGAAGCACTTCAAAATCTTACACTACTACATGAACATCAATCTCAGCATACAGTGGAAAATTGGGTAGAATCAGGACTGAAATTATACTTAAAAGATGACATACCTTCAGAGTGCTTTAAAAACTCACATGATCTGGTTATTTACCATATTTTTTAACCATAAAATATTTTAAAATAGAAGCCCAGAAGACTGGCACTATCTGCTACGTTGGAGTCTAAATTAA